TACGCGAAGTTATCCGCAAAAAAAGACCTGCTTTGTGGGGCAACAACTCGTGGATTCTCCATGACGATACTGCGCCATCTCATAATGCGTTGATTATTCGTGAGTTTCTCGTCAAAAACAACACCAATACCATTCAACAACCGCCCAATTCACCTGATCTGGCACCATGTGACTTCTTCCTATTCGATCGACTCAAAAAACCACTACGAGGAACTTGTTTTGAGAGTGTGGAGGCAATAAAGCTAAAATCGCTGGAGACACTAATGGCTATACCAAAAACCGACTTCCAGAAAAGCTTCGAGGGATGGATCAAACGCTGGCATAAGTGCATCGCAGCCGACGGGGACTACTTTGAAGGGGACAACTTGAATTTTGAAGAATAAACATGTACTTTTCTTTTTATGAATAAATTCCGGTTATTTTTTGATCATGGTAGTATGTTTTCAGCAATGTAACAAAAGGGTGTATCCTCTTTTCAGTATGTTCTTGCCAGCAACAGTTTTCAAAATATAATAACAGCAAGTTCTCAATAACTCATCGGCAATAAACTTATATTATTTTTCTCAACTTATGAATAAAAATTATTGCTCATATATTGCTCACATATTGCTGACTCATATGTCCTAAACATTGGCGCTACAACAATTGATTGATAATAAAACTCAGCATATTGATACTGAATTGACAAAAACATTTTCATTGCGTTAAATAAAAACAACACAACAGCAATTGGCGAGCAACTTAATCTATACAATGATTTGCTTTATATTGAGTTTTCACATTTGGCTATCTGGGTAGAAAATTAGTTTTGAAGCAATTAAAAGCAATGGAGTTTACGACCAGTTTATTGATTTATAGTTGAATCTTATTATTAGAGTTTATTTTCAGATAGAAACTCTGCGGCCAATAAAACGACTCGAACACCATTTGAAGATAAACTAAAACGATCTTAAATGTAAGACCTGACAATGAATACCGTTCTATATACCGTTTCACTTGACTTCAAAATAGTATGAAAAAATATTAAAAAATTATCCGGTGTAGATTTAATTCTCCATCAAAGACAATCAAGATCAATAAAAGAAAAGTATATTTTTTTTTTTGCAATACCTTGTCCATATGCGCGAGTAATCCATCCTGACTGCTTTGTCTAGTAGTTTCGCGCACTAAATCTTTCGCCTGGCTTGCGATCTGTTCAAACAGGGAACCCTGCGATCCCTGTCGGAGAACTCCATTTCCTGTCGTGCTCGCCGAGCCGCCGCTATTTTGCCGTTGCATCGCCCCGTCATTTTGTTTCTGTGCGACTGTCGAACCCGTCGAAATTTGACGTTGCAAATTCGTTGTTTCTTGATGATGATCGGTAGAACTGATCTGCCGTGGCAAGAGCGGGCCGCCAGTTGTGCTGAAGCTAGAAGCTCTCGCGAGAACGTTACCGACGCTTGGCTGGCGTTGCAGACCAGGACCGGTAGGCGCTACCTGAAAATAAGTAGCCAAATATTATTAGAAAATAATGTCCCGTTCTTTTGAGATCCTTTGCGTTATTTAAGAATTTAGACTACTGTGACGGGGTCAAAAAATCGAAAAGTTTTTTTTTTACATATTATACGTTTATAAACAGTTTTAGTTTTCACAACGATGGAAGTCATTTTGTATAATCGCACGATTCCCTTGCTTCTGACGTCATCACTTCAAGATGGCCGTAGAAATATCGAAGCATTGAAAGTATGACATTTAACGCATTGATTGAAAATAATCACGTATGACTTCTCTTTATTTATAACTTTGGTAGAATACGACAAAGTTGAGTCAATTCTCTGACTCTTTACAGTAGTCTTGTTAATCCATTATTCAACCGTTTCCACAAGATATAAGATAATAAAGTTCATCATGCTCTAATAAGAAATTATTCACATTAAATTGATAGAGATTTAAGATCTAGATTAAACAGATCGTGTATACTTTGAGGAGACGCAACACACTTGAATCTATAAGGAAAAAAAAGTTATATTTTTATACAGAAAAATCATTGAATATTCTCTTTACTGGAACTCAAATAGTGCATCACAATTGCATATCTCTAAATACCAGTCGTAATTGTGAATATATTGTTTACCTTGATAATCGAAGTTGCGCAGTTTAGATTTTAATGAATACATGTATCATAGTAGAGAGAAGTGTGGAAACAAAGTGCGTATACAAATACGTGTTTTATATAAGATAGATGGAAAGAATAACTCAAAAAAGTAAGAACATGTGCATTGTAATGTCTGATTCGTTCACTTCATGCTGAAAAGAAATGATGCAATATACAGATCTGATATGTATACTTTCGACAACTCATTCTCACAACACATTCAATGCAGGATGAAAATGAAACTTTTATATACGTTTATGTTTTGGGAAATGAGCGTGCAAGGAGTTGACAAACATCAGATCAGTGAAACGTTTACGTTATTAGAAAAAAAAAAA